CAAACGAGTGCACACTGAGCGGCCAAGCCTATTCCAATCCCTCCCCTGCCTTAATCTCTGCAGCCCGAACCCGCACCACACTGTCCTTCTCTTCCACCAACTATCTCTCAAATATGCGTTACCCAACGCGCAGGGTAACGTTCCCCATCAGCAACAGCAGTTCTCGCGATTCGTATATTATTTTAGCCGAAGCAGGGCCGAGCCGGGTTTTAGCAGTTGCATTGGTTAATCGCATTGTCCTTTCAAGAGGTTTGTTAAGTTGAAATGCGGTGGTTCTTTCAGGGGTGGGAGGGTTGAGGTTTCGCAGTGTTTCTTTTCAGATCATCTTTTGGCCCTCCGCCTCTCCTATTTTTGCTCACTGTTCTTCTTGCAGTATTTGGTATAAGTTTCGTCGCGCGCTTCGCAGGCCATGGGTTTCTGTTCCCAGCCGGTGAATGCGGTGCAGTGTAAGACTTTTCTGGGAAGTCCGTGTTCTAACATTCGCATAGAGGGTTGTCCTTTGGCAGGAACACTGAAGGCATGGACCGGTGGGTTGCTTCCAGTGGAAAGTTTGATGTTAAAACCCAGCGAGTTTCGTGTTAAATCAGCACTCAGCGCACACTGGAATTTTTTTGTTGCGAAAAAAGCTGGTGTTTGGACTGAGGTCAGCTCAGCGTGCAGTCTGGCTTGGGTCTGAATGGGTAGTGTCAGTTAATTATCCATGGTCATTGTTGCTGGGCGGGTTGCTTCGGGAAGTGTTCGGGCTTGAAAAAAATTTTTCTATCGGGATACCTTACTGGATCGTGCTGCGAATTTTGTGCATTTTAAATTGCAGGCTTTTTGCACTGCGTTAGCTGCAGAGGGACGGTCTTTGTGTTACTGCATTGTGTTCGTAGTGAATTAATTCATTTCGATGAAAAGAACCCAAAAAAAGCAGTTTTCAGCATTTCAGTTCACTTTCATGGACTACTGAACAGCTAGTTTTATTGATGGACTAATGGATGACAGGACTGTCGTTGATCGGGGGAATTTCTCACGAGAGGAACTGCTGCGATTGCTGTCCTATTTCGAGGGCGAGCTACAGGCACGAGACATTGTTATCGCCGCTTTGAAGGTACGTTTTTGCTGGTTGTCACAAATCCTGCAGCGTCAGTGACATTGGCATTGCAGTCCGAGAAAGCCAAACAGTTGGTGCACGAAGCAAAGTATGGGCAGCTTACCGGCAGCGATCCGATCAAAGCATTGCAACGCGACTCGAGTTTTGCAGACGAGGAGAATGGGGTCGATGAATCGGCTATCGGGCGGATGTACGAAACGCAGCTTATACAGTTGGAACGCTTGATTAGTGTGCAACGTCGCTGCCATAATCGCTCCAAGCAAGTAAATATTTTTTGCCAGTTGTAAATATTTTTTTCTGTAGACACACACACACACACATGTGCTGACACATACACGAGCAAATAAACACTTCAACTTATATTTTTTCTATTGCCCAGAATTTTTGCTCAAGCATTTCCTCTTTTTTTTTTTTCTCTCTCTCTCTCTCTCCCCCCCCCCC